CTGGGGAATTCTGGGAGTTGAAGTCCACACGTCTTAATGTTGCCAAGGTTGAGAAACACTGATCTAGACCTTGTCGGACTCTTTATACCAAATATATCTTTTCTCAGAATTGTGCTGCACCTGCAGAGGGCAGTCATGGCATACTGAGAAAAAATACCGTTGTTTAAGAGTTTCACACTTATGTTCTGTGACTGATGGGGGTGTTACATAGAATTTTAGGCTTTGTTATTAGCCTTTTAATAAAGGTGATGTTAGCATTTCAGCATGGCATCCAGGCCTCCTTTTCAAGTTTGGGAAACCATATTTTTCCTTTGAGCTAAAGCCATTTTCTTTGATGTTCAAAAAGTAGCCCTTTCAGGGACCGTCAATTGTATTCTGTATTCTGTAGGCCTTGAGTGTTGCAAGTGTTAAAGAAACAAACCCGGGTGGGAAAGGAGGAGATGCAGCATATTTTAAGGGTGTCTTCCTTTCCCCCATCTGATCAATGTCTTTTATTGTTTGATTTCTTGCTTTCTGACCATCCCCACCAAAATGCACTTTTGGGTCCTGTGGGTTGATGTGGCTGAGCGATGAGTTGCCCAGATGGTAGTTCAAAAGACTACTCCCTCCACCCATCTCCTTGATCTGCCATCCCCATCCTACCTCTGAAGAGATGAGGATGACCTGACTCCAGTCTTGCATTCTCCAGGGAGGAGCCGTGGGGAGCAGAGTGGGAGTGCAGGACCCGCAATCGTGCGGGCACTCTCACCTGTAGATCCTTAGCCCAATGGAGAAAGAGCTGTAATCAGCTCTGACAGATCAGATCAGGTATTCAAGAGGGAATGTGGAGTCCTTGGGGTTCTCTGAGCTTGGTTGTTTTCTTGCAAACGTTTTGTTACCCGACTAGGTAACATCTTCAGCACTAGAATGGAACGGGGTTTGCTCTGTTTATATACAGTGGCATGTCCTGCCAGTGTTGGGGTGGGGGTGGGGGTTTTGTTTTGTTTTATTCCCCCCCCCCATTCCTTGATTAGGGTATTGTTTACTGCTTGATTGTGTGTCTGGTGATAATCTTGGTGTTAATCTCTGCTTATCTGGGTGATGATTGTTGGTGGGGAGATGTTCTGGTCTTCTGTTTCCTTTTTATTGTCTCTTTTGAATAGTGTGTAGATGTTGTTTGATTTATTTATTTTATTTATTAAATTTCTCACCCGCCCATCTCCCCCCAGTGGGGGAACTCTGGGTGACTCACAACAAACATTAAAAACATAAAGATATCTAAATACATAAAACAATTTGTTGCTTTCTGACTCATCACATATATGGAATGTATGCATCCTTTGTTCCTGTACCCTATATAAAGACTTGCCCCCCCTTAATAAAATGCCTTTTGTTTTGCCTGAAGTACTTGTGGTTTCTATTGCTGGGGTGGGGGCAAAAAAAGCCACTTGGTAAATGTGTTGGGTGTTTCTCTCTCAAATTCAGGGATAGGTTCTTTCCAGCTCCACACCAACTCACCAACTCAACTCACCAACGCAACTCAGGAGTGTATGGGCATGGGGGGGGGGGGAGCCTCGGGCTACCCACTCTGTGAAAGAATCAATTAGACTGCAAACTCTGGAATCACAAAAACAGTGTGAAAAGCTAGCACAACTGAAAATGGCCAACACTACCAAAGAAGCAGCTGGATTCCCTCTCAGAATTGTATGACAAGCTTATTTAGAAAAATTCCTGCAGGCTTGGGATGCTGGAAAGCTCCTGGTTCAAATTGGAATGAGTAAGAAACACACTATTTTTCTTAACAGAAACTGGCAGAGATTTTTGGATAATGAAAGTAAACAGAATTGGCCAGAACAGGGAGTTTTTAATTGTTGAAAACTGAAACTTTTGAATTTCTTTTTTTGTTGAGAAG